GTTAATTATAAAGCTGACAATACAAGTTTGTATGTAGAATTAATACATATGATTGAATGAACTATTTTATAGTTATTGCAACTATATATAAATGAAATAATTTATCCTTTTTTGAGAAATTTAAATTCCGCTCATTTTTTACGAAGATATTTATATACAATTTTAAGTTAACAAGAAAACCGAATTTTGTGAACAACCTTAATTCTATTACATAAAACTTGTATAGTAATCACCTTTATAGTTGCTACCACTTGGTTTTCTCTAAGTATGTATGTAATTATTTCATGCGTTTTCATTTTATAGTAGCCGGCAACAAGTAGCGCGATTACTTATATTGTTCTGCCTATGCGTCTTACAGATAATTTTCTTCAAAGTGCTCACTTAAGTTTGTCTCGCGTTGACCCATGGCATAATCACGCAGAACGTACCATTATGTTCGCTCTTTCGCCACAATGCTCGCTCATCGATTACTTTTCCGATTAGTCCATCGTGTGCGCCTGAATCTGCTTACGATGACGCAAATCCGGCCGACATGTCGGAGAGCATCATGCGTGGTTTCATTGAAAAAAAAAGAGAGGGAAAACAGGCTCCGTCTTCGAGAAAAAGAAGAAGACATCTGGATGTAAAGGGCAATCTCGATGACTTTCAAAGTTAATGAGATCTAATCGAACGCTGAAAACCCCTTGAATTATATGCAGAACGAAGATGATTCTCGTCATTTTTTTAGTACTCGCTAAACTTATGAAATCGTGAAGTGTTGCGCATTTGCATGACATTTGTAATACTAAATTACGATTAAATTATTATTAAATCGCAACGTCGCGTCGTTTCGAGTACCGACTCATCACGGTATAGAACGAGCGAGCTCTTCGCGCAGCAATTCGCGAATGTGTCCTCGTTCTGAAGTCACGATCTTCAGTGAAAAGAGGAGACATTCGTAAAAGGCATTCTTCAGACTCCTGAGATCGTCACGCAACGCTAATTAATCAATTGTTGTGTGCCGCTCCATTCTCGTGTCTCTAATTTGATTCTGGCTATGCCTGCTGCTTCGATCGCGCTTTCTGTGTCTTCCCCTCTATTTTCTTTTTCAATAAACATTTCCATACAGCCGCGTTCGTTTCATTCTGAGTTTAGAAAATATAACATGGTGTGGCAAACAAAAGCTGACAGTGACTCGTGCCGATCGCTTGCATGCGCTCACGTGCAAAATATTACACGAGTCTGTCGCAATCGCTCGCGAAAGCGCGTCGGCCCGTTGCTGACAATGAGTCCTTTTCATCGAAACGAAGCGAGAAACGTCGAAAGTTCTCGTTCCGCAATTCGCTTTTAACACAGGGACGACGGCTCCCTTCGCGCTTTCGATGCCATCGCGGTTATCAATTCGATCTCGCGAATCTGGCGAATCGTCATCATTTGCGGAGCAAAAGGCATAACGTAACGGTCGACAAAACAAGAAAATTAAGAAGATACATCCTGTAATTTTATTTCAGTCTTTGACCACATTTCCATCGAGAAACTGATTTCGAAATCGTCTTAACCGCGTATATCAAGAAAAAAAAAGAGAAACGTAAAGATTGCGTATTATATGACTTTGGAAAACTTTTGCTCAGAATGTGACTCTGGCTTGAAGTTTCTCGATTGAAAGCAGAAAATTTTATGTTCACTATACTTATACTTATAAATTGAATGAGAGCTTCGAGTTCTTTTTACTTCTAGCTCTTCTTATTGTGAAAATAAATAACAGGAATATTTTGGATATTCATTTTTCTATAAAATGGAAAATGCTTCCTTCAATTTACGATGGAAGTTGTGCTATTTTTAGCAGTCGCATGTTTCAGCGGCAAAACCGAAGGGATCTCTCGCAGAGATCCATGATCGGAGAATTGATCGACCGGTTTAACTTTCGCGCATGACGAACTTTCGCGTTTTTCGAACGTGAGTGTCGTCTCTGTCTGTGTCACGAATTCGACCGCAACCTCCATTAAACTTATCGTTATGACGCATGCAGGCGCTTTCACGCAAACCATTTTGATAAAGTATTTCGACAAATTTTTTGTTTTTCACATTCTGAAACTTTATGTCAAACTTTACTTTGTACAAATGTGTTTTTATCTTCACTGAACGAGAGGCGGAGATTTATTGGTCTTTTTATATCCTACCAACGCCAATGGCAGATCATTTGAGATGTGGCGGAGCTTTATCAGTCATATATCTATTTGAATTCGATCGCTGAAGCCAAACAATGATCAAGCATAATTGGTCGAATTAATGATCGCTGAGGATAAACTTTAATATATTAAACTTAAAAATTCGAATCAAATCTAATAATCAAGTTTATTATTTTATAAAATTCGAGTAATAGTCATAAAAAATAATATTTCATATATTGACTTATACTTGTGAGGTAATCGATCTCGACTAATTTCGAATTTTCGAATTTTAGAATGAGTATATACGATTAGTTGACGTGAGTAATAAAAATGTAATTTTCCAACTTTTTTTATTTTTGGCGTAAAGTATAGCGAATTCGATTGGACGCACTCAGTGGTGCACATTAAAGCCGTCGTACATAAAATCGATTAAATCGTGAAATACTTAATACATTTTATTGTTATACTATTAGGTAAAATATGTATTTCATAATTCGAAATATTTGTATTTCATTTTTATATTCAAATTAAATTAGTGTACAACGGCTTTAATATGCATCAGTGCGCACTAGTTTTTCCAATCGAATTCGCCATTAGTTTTACGGAATGGAGATTCCTTTTCCACGATTAAAATATACATGGCAACTAATATATCTATATCTCTCTGTTGTATTTTGTGTTCAAAGTAGGAGAAAATAAAGAAATTACAGATTTCTTTATTCATTTTTACCTTAATATGGCGAACAATGCTAGCAATTTACCAAGCATTTACTTCGTGGAACGCTTAAAATAAAGGTAAAGATGTAAAATAAAGAAATTAATATGTGAATCGTTAAAATTAAGTTTGGAACTCAGTTTTACTAGAAATTTTACATTTTGCTTCAAATCGAAACGTTTGTATAATGCGATCATTTTAATATATTATTTTTGATAATTATCAATTACACAACACACAAAATAAAATTTAATTTAATGTTTGATCCGGAGATTAGACCATGATATTTTTATGTATAACAGAATTTGTTTCATATACGAGTTTTTATATTTTGTACGTATAAAACAATTTTGGACTAGAGAGAAATTACATGAACAAACAATGTTGAGTTCTTAGAATTAGGTTTAGATACTTAATATGAAAGATTAGTTAATTAGAAATTTGTACGTATTGATGTAGTAGTGTGTAGTGACAATGTCAATAACACATAAATCGTATATGTGTAAATCCTAAATCAATCCTGAATCAGTAAAACAAACGACTTTAGGATCCTTTTAATCCTATCGTTAGTGATCGT